GCAAGTATGAGATGATTGCAAAAGTTGCAGAGGCCAACAATGCTTTAAGCATTAGACTGAGAAGATCGCCTACTTATGAAGAAACAGCTGAGATGCTGATGTAAAAGCTTCCACTGTTAGACTTGTTTCTGAAAATAGCAGAGCCCCGATTTCACTGGACAGCACGGTGACTGATCAAGGGCACATGACACTTCAGGTTCTTCTTCAGCTTCATTCATATGTTATATGAACAATTTGCATCAGTTTTCACCATAGTTCAGATGATCATCATCTTACCATAATATTGATGATGGTGTGATGGAAATAATGCAGGCGATTATGGCTGGGCCAGATGAACTGGTTCCAGAGAAGATGTTTGAGAGAGAAGCTGGTGAAGCAAGGAGTGGAGAAGCTTCTAGAGACAGTGAACAAGAGGGAGGCAGAGATAGTGAGATTATACTATGGACTCACTGGTCAGACTCCTCTTTCTTTTGAGGAGATAGGAAGGATGCTGAAGTTATCAAGGGAGAGAGTCAGACAGATTCATGGCGTTGCGTTGTCAAAATTGGAACATTCTCCTATTATCAACAGTTTTAAATACTTTGCTGAATAGTAATAACATTTGTTAAGAATGCCAGGAAAATGAGGTGAATATGGTTGAATGATTAAGAAGCCAACGTCCATAGCTTAATAGCACAATTAATAAGGCTGTTCAATAAAAATTCTTGGTGTATGGCAACATTATTGGAGAGGTTTGGTATAATATAATTCATCAATTCTCATATAATTTTTTTTTAAAATTGTTTTGGTGCTTAGATTTAGTAGTTTCCTCCAATACCAGCTCATAATTGATTTACTGATTTATATCAAGTACATAATAAAAAAAAAAGTTATAATGTACACCTTCAGAATAATCCCGAGACTATATACCACAGTTCCTTTTATTGGGAATAACACAACAATGAATAAGTAAACTAGATTAAAAATGCTAGTATTTTCACAGATCTATATTTCACATCACGCTTAGACTTCAACCTTTTTTGTTATGAGTTCGATATAAACCAATAAATCAATTATAAAGGAATGATAATTTTTTATTTTTGACTTTCAGGGATCGTAAAATATGAAACATGGAAAGATATGTGGGGGGAAAATGTGACCCGATGTGGGAAAACCGCCCCGTCGTTGGATTGCGGGGTTTGTGCCTTTGCGGACCTCGGTAGCCACTTATACTTACATAGTAAAGAAATCCCCAACAACGCGTTTGTAGTCCAACGGTTAGGATAATTGCCTTCCAAGCAATAGACCCGGGTTCGACTCCCGGCAAACGCAGTCTATTTTTGTCATAAAACTTTTGTAGTCAATACAATTTCGCTTCCCTTTCCCTGCTTGATAACGTCTTAAAATGAGGCGTTTACTTTAATTTTTTGGGCCAAATGACAAGTCCATTTTATTGATCACCAAGAAAATCAATTACACCCACTAATAACCAAAGCTTTAAAAATAAAAAAGAAACTCAAAAAATACCAAAACGTACAACCTAACAAACTTACCAAAATAAACCAACAGAAGTAGTGAGAGCTACAGAGAAGCCACATCTCTCAATTACACGATGTCATATTGATAGTTGATCATCGTTCTAGATACTTGCAGTTGCCCGTATAAGCCAAATATTATACAACTACAATATTTACTATATTTGTCTGACATCCTATTCTTCCCTATGCAAGTTATGGAGGATATACAAAGAAGCAGATGATAGGAAAATACAGACTGAATAACTTAGCAGATCCGTTCCCGTGTGTATTTTTACCATCTTGCTCCTCTCAAACATCTTCACCAGAAGAATCATCACAATAACGTGCCCCACCTTTGTCTTCAATTCGTCAAGTGAGCTGATTTTCATCCATTTAGGCCTCTCCTGAAAAAGGCAGGATCAAAGTGAGGGGCTAAACATAATATGAGGTCACCATGGATGTGAAGGAAAATGGAATTGTACTTGAGAAGAACCAGTAAGACAATTCTCAAGTTGGTCCCTGACAAATTTTTACTCCCACTATGGTGCCTTCTCTCCGTTGATCAAACTCTAATTTTGATCCGCTTTTAAAGATGACATGAGATGGGAAAGAGTGTCCCCACATACTTAATTACGGACTCGCTAAAGAAGGGACTAGATTGGATGGATTTTGAAATGTGAGGGAATGAAAATGAGAATGAAAATCTGTTAGGGACCAATCCAAGATTTCCTCCGTCTTTGAAGAAACCAAAATGGGATTACAGTATAACACATGCAAAATATGAAGTTAAACTTCAGTGTGGTGGATGGTGCAACTAAATGCTTATATATTATGAAGAGAGAGCAATACTTGACATTCAGACTGATGCAGTTAAGATTACCTTTAAGGCAAACATTCCAAACAAAGAAGATCCTGTAAGGGCACGATCAGAAGAGGGTGGAGCATTAGGAGGTACATTGCTTATAAATAATCCATATAAGCCCATGCCAAATATCAACATAACAGTCCCAGCAAGATAGACATCTGCAGCAGTGAGATTCATGCATTCTATAAGGAAATAATAGAATAAATAGGAGATTGTGTCATTGGGTTCCAAAATAGAGGTAGTAGACATATATTTATCAGTACTTGGGTTCCAAAATAAAAGTAAAGATTGAGTTTTCCCATGAAAAAGGATAAATACTAACATGTTACTTGCACGAGTCTTCTTCATAAGCAACATGTATAAATTACAGGGAAGATGCTTTGGATGGAAAAAGTTGAGAACATTTACAGGGAATAAAAATTCAAAACTTCCTCGTGTGAAAGAACCATATAATAATTCCTTTTTTCCAATTCTTTGAACTATTTTAGTTAAGCCATTTCTGATTTGAGCAGAGTGTAAACAGCTGAAGAAAAAGTATTGACAAAACAAGAGATTTTATCTGGAGTATGGATGATACATTACCAATTGCTTCAACCAGTCGCAAGACCATTTGTCCAGTGTGAATCCCTTTAACACAGCTCGACCAATATACTTTGTATGCATCAACAATATATGTACAGCCCTAAAACGACCAAGGGCAGTCAGATTATATCTAGCCAACTTAATGATACGAACTCAACTCTATTAACAAGAAACTAACTATTGTTTCACATATATTTTACAAAAACAATCGAAGGAAGTTTGGATTCTCAATGGAGAGAATCTATATCAAATGACAGGAATTAAAATAAATAGCTTCACTCTTCTAGTCTTCGTCCATGAAACATTAATAACTTTTCAACAAAATTTAAGAAATAGAGGGTGTTTAGAGACTTACATTTAGAAAGCACAATAACGAACCAGCCAAGGAGCCTGCGATGGCAAAGAGTGCCAAGAAACGGAAGTCGAAAATAATCTGCTCAACAAAGAAGAAAACCAAAAATCTTCTTTTCAGATATGAAATTGTAACCATTTAGCTCTTCATAATGATGTGCGAAGCCTTTTAAAAAAAAAAAAAAAAATCCCCTTTTGAACTAGAACACTGACGAAGAAAATAGCACAGAAGCATGAATATTTTGATCATGCCAAACCAACAATAACGATGCTTATTTTTATTCAATCATTTCAAACAGTTCACAAGATTCTACACACTTACAATGACATTGCTTAGTTATTCAAAAACTCACTCTCTGCTATGTCTTCTTTTAAAGTCAAACAAAGATACATAATTTATAACAGCGTCTATTATAGTCAAGCTCGTCAGCTGCAAATCAAACCGGAGACAGAATGCTTAACCCACAAAGGGAAAAGGAAAAAAAAAAAAAATCCTAGGAAGGCTTCACTGGTTCATGCAGATGGTTCTGACAGCAAAGTTCTGGTCTTTAGGGAACTAAAAGTCTGATAAAGCTTACTTATGATCCCCAGAAAAGATACTGAGAGTGTAAGCTTAGTATTACAAACAATAAACTCGTTGAACAATCATTTCGTCATGTGATTCTGATATCTATAAAAAAGGATACCCATCAAAGTTGTTACTTTTGGCGATAAACTCGCGCTCTTCCTAAATTCAGAAGATTATGATTAAGTAGACTTTATTTGTGCCTTTAATATTCAGTTACTCACCCATGGGTTAAGAACTTCAAAAAAACCAATACCCAGACCAGAAAGAAGTGTGAAGCAGCATGAGGCTTCAGCAATAACTAATAATAGAGCAAAAGTAAAAACTCAATCAAATTACCCTTTCAATGGAAGACTCGGAAGATCGAAGAAGCCGAATAAAGGGGCTTCCATTGGGATTTGCGACTGCGTATTTCAAGCTCGGTTCCGGAGACTTTGATTCAACGAAAGGCGTCGACGATGAAGAAGAAGAAGTAGCCGCAGAAACAACTGGAGATTGTGCTTTTGATTCAGGGGACGATGGCGAAGGAGCGCTCAGCGAAGCACGTAAAATCGAAATTGGACGCCGAAATTGCAAGGGACTGTGAACGGGAAGAGGAAGCGAGCGTGGTGAGGGAGAGATTAAGGCAAAGGAAGCCATGGAAGAAGACTAGGAAGATGATGAAGGAGACGAAGTGGGAGTTCCAGCTCTCCGCAAGAGTATGTCAGCCAATCATTGTCCTGTTTTATCGTCGCCACATGGCGGGAACGCAGGCGCGCGGAGGTACGCGCGTGTAAGGAGCGTGGTGGGGAAAAAGAAACTTAGACAAAGAGATCCGCAATCCCATCACATACACGTGACATGTAACGTCACATGTGTGCCCACATGTTTGTCGCAATACGGCATGTGGTGAATATGAGCCGTAGGATTAGCTAAAAATATCATCTGGACATGATATTTTAGTCTTCCGCGCTGTATTTATTGGCTACATCCGCATGTCTTACAAGCTTAGCTTTATCTATCCTCTTATTGGAAATAAACATGTTAAAAATAGTATCAGATATTAAATGTAAATACCATTCTAAACAGAAGTTTAAATCTTAGTTCGTCATGTCACGTTACGAGGAACTAGTTTTTTTTATTATTACATTTTCTTTGAATAATTGTTTTTTGAATAAATTTGTTACATATTTTGAATAATTCAAGAGTCCTAACAGCAACTCAAATACTATAATTGTGTGATATTTGTTGCTGTTAGGACTCTTGAATTGGGCCCACCGTTGTGCCAAAAAAAAAGGCGCCGATGAGTTAGTGACAAACCGCGCTATAATCAGTCTCATAAATCATTTTCTGTAATTTATTATTAAAATACCAATTGGAGTTGGGTTTAGCCCAAAAAAAAATTAGTTCCTTATGACATAATGAATTAATATTTAAATTTTTAATAGGAGAGGTTCTCGCATCTAGTGTTCGATAATGCTTTGAATAAGAAGAATATCTGTACTTATTAAAAAAAAAGTAATTTATTGTTAAGATCATCATATTTATGACAATCTAATTAAATAAATATTAACAACCCATTTTTTTAACTTTTTTGTAATCTAATTATTATTAAATTGTACTTTCGTGACTTATTAAGTATTATTCTTAAAGAAAAGAAAATGCATCGAATAAAGAATAAAATATACTCATCCGCGATCGTAGAAAATTCTTAGGTTTTAAGCCCTTCTTATTTGGTAGAAAAGGTATGGGTTTGAAAATGAATGAAATGATAATAATTCTTGCATGCTAATGAAGAGACCCTTCATATATTCTTTTCTGTCGTTACTTAGGTAGGTAAACACACTTAAACACCTTTTTAGCAATAATAAATTTTTTCTTAAGGATTGCAAGTACAACTCGAACTTAAGTGACTTGACTTGTAATTTTTTTCCTGAAATATATTGACTTGTAATTATAGGAGTAAAACATTAATTTTCCTAAAATAAGACTACCTTCGGTCCTAATTATAAGAGCTAGTTGAGTAATTTGAGGAGATTAAGAAAATAAGTTAAGTTAGTTATTTGTAATAAATATGTGCTGTCTTTTCTAAAATATCTTTATTAATAAAATATATTGATTAGAACTACTATAATTAGAAGGACCACTATGGGAAAAAATACATAAATATAAGAAACAAAGCGGATTGGAATTTTATAATTAGGACCAAAATAAAAATCAAATGAAGTCTTATATTAAAGATCGGAGGTAATATTTCTAACGCAAGAAGAAAGCAGGACATTGGAACTTTCTTATCAAAGTCAAAGTAAAAACATAGACACATGACTCAACTATCTTCTTGGATGAAAAAATTAGCATCCGAATGACTCTTAGCATGGCTCTAAATTCTGAAGGCACTGGCAGAGCTGACTATATCAGTGACTCTTGACATGGGGCAATAGACTAAAAGATGTTTACTGTATACAAACCAGTACGTTGCCGCATGTTCTCTTTTCTTCTCAATGAGAGTTCTTCGTTTCTGGTTGGTCCCAAAAGAGAAAAGAAAAGAAGTTAAAGTTCGTTTCTGGACCATTCAACATGTTAAAACAACTCAACTTATTTACTGTGTTACGCGTGGAAAAGAAGGATACTGTATGCTGTGTATGCATCTATATATTCGATACTGCGATTTGTAGCTTTTGCCTGCAACCAAAACTTGCTTGAGAGAGAGAGAGAGAGATACATCAATGGGAAAATTACCAGTGACTGAGTTATTATTACACTTTGTGTGCTTTTTAATCTTAGTTTCTGTTGGGAGCAGTAATGGCGGGCACTTGATTAATTGCCTAGCTTCGGATCGAGAAGCTCTCATGGACTTCAAATCTGGGTTTCGAGATCATGGTGGGAACGTGTTATCTTCATGGAGGGGAAGCAATTGTTGTGAATGGCATGGAATAGAGTGTGACAACAATACAGGAGCAGTTATTACAATTGATCTCCACAACCCATATTTGGATCCACATCAGAAGAGCAGGTATGGATACTGGAACCTGAGTGGTGAGATAAGACCATCTCTGATGAAGCTCAATTCATCACTAAGGCATTTAGACTTGAGTTTTAACACTTTCAATGGCATACCAATTCCTCAGTTCGTGGGATCACTGGAAAATTTGCAGTATTTGAACTTGTCAAATGCTGGTTTTGGTGGCCTCATTCCTCCACATTTAGGAAACCTATCTCGTTTGCAGGTTCTTGATCTCAAGGCCGCTGAAATTTTATATGATGAACTTGTTGTTTTTCAGTCTTTCGAATTACATGTTGATAATTTTCAATGGATAACCGATCTCATCTCTTTAGAACATCTTGCTATGAATGGGGTTAATCTCTCCTTGGTGAAAGATTGGGTTGGGGCATTGAATCAACTGCCTTCTATAGTTGAATTCCATCTATCGAGTTGTAACCTGTCTGCTTATACTCTATCTCCTGCAACTCTTAATTTTACTTCACTTGCCGTCATGGATCTTAGCCATAATAAATTCCATTCAGAGATACCTGATTGGCTTCCAAATATAAGCAGCTTGCAGCATATTGATATGAGCAAAAGTAGCCTATATGGAAGAATACCACTTGGTATAGGTCAGATGCCGAATTTATTGTCGTTGAATTTAGATGGCAACACCAATCTTACAGCAAGTTGCTCTCAACTCTTCAGAAAAGGATGGGAAAAAGTAAAAATTCTTAAATTAAAAGAAAATAAGTTATATGGAGAGCTGCCTTCAACTTTGGGAAACATGACTTCTCTCATGCTTCTTCGACTTGACTATAATGCTATTGAAGGTAGTATTCGAAGCTCTGTTGGAGAACTTTGTAACTTGATTGAATTTTCTGCATCAAGAAATAACATGACAGGAAGCCTACCTAAAATTCTTCAAGAAGCAAAAAGTTGTCCTTCTAGGAATCCTCTCTCTACTATGTAATATTTGGATTTGAGCTACAATAAACTAGGTGGTGAAATCCCATATTGGCTAGGTCAACTTGAAAATCTAGTTAAACTTGACCTTAGCCATAATTCATTCAAAGGTCCTATCCCTACTTCTTTAGGTCATTGTTAAGTCTTTCTATGCTAGAACTTGCAAATAATGAACTTAGCGGGACCCTTCCAGAAGGTTTAGGGCAACCTTCTACCCTATCATCTCTTGATATTTCTTTCAATCAGTTGGATGGCATAATCTCCGAAATTCATTTTTCGAATATGTCCAACTTGAAATTCTTATACTTATCCTCCAATTCATTCACTGTGAATTTCAACAACTCTGGTGGGATGCCTCCATTCCAAGTTGTAGGGCTTGTGATGACTTCATGTGTTTTGGGACCTTCATTTCCAACTTGGCTCCAATCACAAAAAGAGGAGAACTTTTTAGACCTCTCAAATGCTAGCATTTCAGATTATATACCAAAATGGTTTTGGAATGCCATGCCTAATTTGCGGTTATTATCTCCTTCTCATAATAACTTTATTGGACAAATACCGGAGTTCCTAGAAGAGATGTGTTCTCTTCATAGCATTGATCTTTCAAGCAACAACTTCACCGGAAGGATCCCTTCAAGCATTGCTAGCTGTTCTTTCCTGCACGTGCTAGATCTTAGCAGCAATAAACTTTCTGGTGCTATTCCAAATTCCTTAGGTCAATTGCAAGGTCTTCAAATATTGCACCTAAGTGATAACCATCTCTCAGGGAGGGTGCCATCATCTCTCATCGATTTATCCAATTTGATAACTATGGATCTTGCAAATAATGGACTGTCTGGTGAGATACCTACTTGGATTGGGCATGCATTTTCACATCTTCAGGTTCTTAAGTTAAGGTCCAATTCATTCTTTGGACAAATACCTTCTGATCTCTCAAAACTAAGTTCTTTGCGAGTCCTAGACCTTGCGGAAAATGACTTGAGTGGCAACATTCCAGCCAACCTTGGTGATCTTAAAGCAATGGCTCAAGAGAAAATGAATGAAAATTTCAAGCATGCAGCATATCAAGATGTGATTTATCATGATAGGTTGGTTATGAATACAAAAGGCCAATCACTAGTTTACACCAAGACTCTTTCACTAGTCACCAGCATAGACCTTTCTGGGAACAATTTGTCTGGAAGATTTCCTCAGGAAATTACAAAGCTATTTGGCCTAAGGAATTTGAACTTGTCAAGAAACCATATAACTGGAAGTATTCCAGAGGGCATATCCAATATGCATAAGCTATTATCACTTGATCTCTCGAGCAACCAGCTTATTGGCACCATTCCTCAAAGCTTGCCTTCCTTATCATTTTTGGGCTACGTGAATTTATCCTACAACAACCTTTCAGGCGTTATTCCTTACAGGGGTCATATAACAACTTTTGAAGCATCTTCATTTGTTGGGAACCCTGGTCTTTATGGCTGTCCCCTTCTTGTGCAGTGCCTACATTACAATGACGTTCCTGGTTCTGATAATGGAGCGAGTAATGATGAAACAGACGATGGGCTGATTGATAAGTGGTTTTACTTGAGTCACTGACCGTAGCCGATGAGTTCGTTATTTGCATTTCTAGCTTATGTCTCTTATGTACTTGCTCCTGTGTTCCTGTACTTCTGACATGTTTCATAGTATAATATGTGTTATTTAAAATATTAATTTGTTTTACACCTAGCTAGTATCCCTATTAGTTATATAAGTGACTTATTACTTACTTCCATTTGAAATATTCAAAGGGAAAGAAATTCTCTTGACAAGATCAATAAATGCTGCATGCCTGTATGTAATACTTGAAGAAGTAGGAAGCGACATGTTTATGGGAACAACTTCTAATAAATAGAATTTTATATTTAATTTCATAATAAATTAAATAGAATGATGTTCGACGTCAAGCTAAGGATTTCGACATGCATGTAATAAATCTCAGTGGTTTTTGTAGTTATCCCACAATTCGGGGGAAAGAAACAAAGAAAAGAAAATTCATATACTTGTTTAAATAGTTATTCTACATTTTTCCAATAAAGAAAAGGAGGGGAAAAACCTTAGAAGCATTGGAAGCTAGTAGTCAAGTACTATCTCTAGTATTTAATATAAAAGCTAATTAAAAAGTTAGATTTGATCTTAAATATAAGAACTCCATCATTTTTTTTAAAAATTTATGATTTTTTTAAAATTAAAATATCTTTATTGATTGTAAGGATTTTCATCAAGAAATAATTTTAATGCACATAATTAAAAATAATAATTTAAAAAGATCAATGCAAATTTGTTATAAATAACCATCTTAAATAATTTTTTAATATTCCCAAATTAATTGTCTAACTTCTGCATTAAGAACCGGAAGTATTATTAATTAATAGGGTTAAGGAGGTTAACAAACTTAGTAAGGTAGATATCAATTTGGAAAAAATATTTTTTTAAAAAAATAATACATATAAATAAACTTACATATTACTTATGGTTTTAAATATAAAATCTAGTTTGTATAAAATTACCCTACAAACTAAATCTTATGTAGTACCGGAGGTAGTAATATTTATCCATATATTCTTCCGGTCTTTAATATAGAACCTAATTGTTGAGTTAGTTTTGATCCTAAATATAATACTCATTTATCATATTTATCAATTTTTTAATAAAATACTCTTATGGATATTCCCTCAACTATAATTAAGTAGAAAAAGGAGAGAAAGTATTAAGAAAGATGATTATGGTGTTTTAGGAAAACTGTGTCATATTTTTTATAATTAACTAACTTACTTAACTTTCTTAATGTAATCAAATTAGTTAAATAGGTCTTATATTAAAAATTGGAAGAGTATTATCATACATGCTCAAATATGTTGATTGTTAGATTGATGCAATGGAAGTAGTGCAACTTCTGCATGGCGACAACGAAAGCTCTCATGAGGTAGCAGACCGGCTGGTCCGTGAAGCCAAGGCTTTGATGGCCCAAAACTGGACTCTCATCCAGCATGTGCCGTAGAGTGGGAACAAAGTTGCAGACTACCTAGCCAAGCTTCCTGGGATTAAGATTTCCCAGAAATCATCTCTATCATTTACCATTTTCCTCTCAAAATCTCATCTCTACCATTTCATTAAAAAAAAAAAAGAAAGAAAGAAAAAGAATGGTTCAAATTTAATATTTTCAAAAATGATTGTTTCTGATTAGTCTTCTGGCTGAAGTTGCCCTTTGTGACATACGTGCTTGTATTTAAAAAAAAAAAAAAAGATTGTCCACCTTTTTTCTCCACTTTATATAATATTGTAATAATAGTTTTGTAAAATATTAAATTTGAATAGTAATCTATTTGTGGATGAGATTGTGAGAGATAAATGAGAGAGAAAAAGAAGAGAGATGAACTCTGCAGTTAGAGGCTTTCATCCAATAGCGGCTCTCACTGATGAGTCGCGTTTACTGTTGAATGAGGATGGAAATGAGAGTCTAGAAGTGGCCTGCTGGTTTGAGGCCTTCCTGTTGTAATAATAATAATGATAATAGTAAAAGAAAATTCTTAGGTTTGTTTTTCCCATTCTCTAATTGATCTGGGATAAAGGGTATGGGGTGGGTTTAAAAAATTAATGAAATGGTAATAATTCTTACATGCTAACGAAGGGACGCTACATATTGCTTTCTATTATTTATTGGGTTGGGTTAGATGAGCAACCTTTTTAGCAATAATACATAGGAACCGGCAAATCAAATTTAAGTGACCTGACTTGTTAAGTTTCTTTTCCCAAAAAAAATAAAATAAATGTATTGATCTTGGAATTTTAAGTGTTTAAGCTTTGGCCACTAAGTTCTTAAAAACATAATTAAGCTAAGCTACTTGTGGACGGCAAAAAGAAAGAAAGAAAGAAAGAAAGCAATGGTGGTATAAAAACAATATTTCTAACGCGAGAAGAAAACAGGACATTGGAAGTTGGAACTTTCTCATCAAAGTCAAAGTAGAAACACACATACGTGACTGTACTAAGTTCTAGGTTCTAAAGGTATTAGCAGGTTTGACCATATCAATGACCCTTTACATGGGGCAAAAGACTGAAAGATGCTTACTACATACAAACCAGTATACGTTTCTGCATGTTCTCATTTCTTCTCAATGAAAGTTCTTCGTTTCTGGTTGGTCCCAAAAGAGAAAAGAAAAGAAGTTTAAGTTCATTTCTGGACCATTCAACATGTTAAAAAAAACTCATCTTATTTACACTGTCACGCGCGGAAAGGAGCGATATTGCATGCTGCGTATGTAGCTACATATTCGATACTGAGATGTGTAGCTTTTGCCTGCAACCAAAACTTGCTTGAGAGAGAGAGAAAGAAACATCAATGGCAAAATTACCAGTGACTGAGTTATTATTACACTTTGTGTGCTTTTCCATCTTAGTTTTCATTGGGAGTAGTAATGGGGGCCACTTGATTTATTGCCTGGCCTCTGATCGAGAAGCTCTCATGGACTTCAAATCTTCATGGAGGGGAGACAACTGTTGTGAATGGCATGGAATAGAGTGTGACAACAGCACAGGAGCAGTTATTACAGTTGATCTCCACAACCCGTATTGGGATCCACATCAGTTGAGCAGGTATGGATACTGGGACTTAAATGGTGAGATAAGACCATCTTTAATGAAGCTCAAGCCATCACTAAGGCATTTAGACTTGAGTTTTAACGCTTTCAATGGCATACCAATTTCCTCAATTCTTGGGATCACTTGAAAATTTGCAATATTTGAACTTGTCAACTGCTGGTTTTGGTAGCTTCATTCCTCCACATTTAGGCAACCTATCTCGTTTGCAAGTTCTTGATCTCAGGGCCGCTGAAAAGTTATATGATGACCTTGTTGTCTTTTAGCCTGTTAAATTATATGCTGACAACTTTCAATGGACAAGTGGTCTTATCTCTTTAGAACATCTTGCTTTGAATGGGGTTAACTTCTCCTTGGTGAAAGATTGGGTTGGTCCTTTGAATCAATTTCCTTCTATAGTTGAAGTGCATTTATTGAGTTGCAACCTGTCTGGTTATATTCCACCTCTTGTCTCTTTAGATTTTTCTTCGCTTGGTGTGATAGATCTTAGCTTTAACAACTTCCATTCAGAAATACCCGATTGGCTTGTGAATAAAACTAGCCTGCAACATATTGATATGAGTAGAAGTGGGTTATATGGAAGAATACCACTTGGTCTAGGTGAAATGCCAAATTTATTGTCATTGGATTTAAGTTAGAATTATGATCTTACAGCGAACTGTTCCGAACTCTTTAGAAAAAGATGGGAAAAGATACAAGTTATTAATTTAAGAGAAAAGAAGGTGTACGGAAAACTTCTTTGTCTTTGGGAGACATAACTTCTCTCACTAGACTTTATCTTGATTCTAATGCTATTGAGGGTGGTATTCCAAGCTTATTGGAGAACTTTGCAATTTGAATTGGTTTTCTTTGTCAAGGAATAATATGACAGGAAATCTACCTGAAATTTTTGAAGGAACACAAACTTGCCCTTCTAAGAAACCTCTACATAATCTGCAATATTTGGTTTTGAGGTACCATCAATGGGGTGGTAAAATTCCATATTGGTTAGGTCAACTGGAAAATATGATTGGACTTGACCTTAGCCCAACTTCTTTAGGATCAATACAGAATCTTAATATCTTGCAACTTGGAAAGAATAAACTCAATGGGACTCTTCTAGAAAGTTTAGGACAACTTTTTACTCTACCAGGGTTGGATGTTTCTCCTAATCAATTGGGAGGCGTAATATTTGGAATTCATTTTGCAAAGATGATCAATCTGACATACTTAGACTTATCCTCCAATTTATTTATTGTGAACATCGGCTCCAATTTGATGCCACCATTCCAAATTGAAATACTTAGAATGAGTTCATGCATCTTGGCTCCAATCACAAAAACATATAAACGTTTTAGACCTCTCAAATGCTAGCATTTCCGACTCTATACCAAATTGATTTTGGATAGGAATGGCTAACTTGACTCTCTTATCTCTTTATCAAAATCAATTTTTCGGACAAATACCACAGTCTATAGGAGAGAGGTGTAATCCTCTTTTCACCATTGATCTTTCCGGCAACAACTTCATTAGAAGGATCCCTTCAAACTTTGCAAATTGTTCTCACTTGCATGCACTAGACCTTAGCAGCAACAATTTTTCTGGAGCTATTCCAAATTCCTTAGGTCAATTGCAGACACTTCAAGTATTACATCTAAGTGACAACTAACTCTCAGGTAAATTGCCATCATCTTTCATCACATTATCCAATTTGGTAACCATGGATCTTGGAAATAATAAACTTTCTGGCGAAATTCCTACTTGGATTGGGCATGGATTTTCAAAACTTAGGATTTTTAAGTTAAGGTCCAATTTATTCTTTGAACAAATACCTTCTTATCTCTCCAAACTAAGTTCATTGCTAGTCCTAGACCTTGTAGAGAATGACTTGGGTGGTACCATTACAGCCAATTTTGGTGATCTTAAGGCAATGGCTCAAGAGAAAATGAATGAAAGTTTCAATGTAATATATCGAGATG